TTCATGACAGTGGGGTTTATTTCAACAGTAAGTTTGAAACTCCTGCCTTTGGCAAGAGAACTACAGTAATTATATCAGAACAGACAACTTCCTACACTGTCAAATGTATTAAAGTTCCTTTTTCATTTTCCTCAACACTGATCAATAAGCAGACTCAGTCCACATTTGCTTCCATCTATCTACTGAGTTAACCCAAGCTTCTTCTTCAGAGATTCTGGCATCTCAGGTGGAGGAAGGCAAGGAAGCCTGAAGTTGACCTTCACAGAGTCATAGATGAACCACTGTAGTGCAGTCAGAGTGCCAATCATGATGATACAGGCAAAGAGTCCCTTCCACACACCTCTAAATCCAAGTCTCTTGAGGACCTGAGAAGCACTGTTACCCTTCTCTTTATTCAACACAGACACCACAGAATCAGCAGGATGAGAAACAATGGCACAGAAGACTCCAGCTATGTAACCTGCCACAAATGTGACAACCAGCTGCTCTGGCTTTGAACATTCACTTCGGGGCTTGGGAACCACAAACTTGTACAATGCTTCAACAGTACATTCAAAGAAGGCGAACTTCATCATGGTGTATGATATCTGTCTCATCCAGAGAGGAGCAACCCCCTTGTAGAATCTAGGAAATCAAAAGACTTAGTTTGCTCAGTTGCATATGTTCTAGCAGAGATTTTCATTATTAACTGAAGTGTCCGCACACCAGTCGAGCCCTGATAGTAAAAAATGGCAGCACAATTGCATGTCATTTCTATCAGAACCTAAGACTAACATGCAGGTATATTTATCTCACACGCCAATGACTCAAGCACCTTTGACTATACAACCAAAAAAAGTTGCTGGATGTTTCTTTGACTGGAACTACAAGAAGCCAGAAGTTTACAAGTAGAACTCAGTGTAAGATTTAGCATGACTCTTAATTATATAATTATATATTTTTTTAAAGTTCTGTTCTTTAAAATGTAATGAAAGATAATAAATATTTACATTTAACTGGGAGAACTTTTTGTAGGCAAAATATATTTCCTTTGCCAATGAATAATGATTTTACTAACTTCATTTTTCCTGTCTTATTCAGGTCATGTATGGAATGTTGGTCTTCACATTAGTACTTCGATCTATTTATATTGTTACATGGTAAGTAGTTTGGATCATCAGCACTATGGTTAGACTACACTCAGGTGGTAAATCTATAGCCTATATTGAAATAACACATAAAACCCAGCTCTAGCAGGGATACTGATAGAAAACTATAACCCAGCATTTATTATGGTGTATTACAAGGAATACTGATTCTTTAAGCAAGTTGCTAATAGGCATCATGTGAAAACAAGAGTTCCAAAATTAAAGGAATTTGAGGAAAGTTGTGTATGATGGCCTTCTTTTGAATATTTATAATGTACATAAGTATATTAAAGGCCTTGAAAAATCCTACAGTAAAAAAGAAAATAATTGTTTTTATATTTCTCAAACTACTTGATTAAGGAACTCTTTTTACAGAATACCTGTCAAGGAAGGTGGTTAATATCCCAGAGAATCAATGTTCCTGAAAGATCATTTAAGAAATCTTTGTAGAGTTTATGAACATTAAAATAAGAAATATTCATGTGAGTACCTTACATAGAGCCTGGCCATATAGCAGGTGCTCAGTAAGTAAATAGTATGATTTATGGGTTTATTCCTTTTTTTCCTTTTTTAAATTAAATTTGTTGGTTTGAGGTAACTGTAGAAGCACATGCATTTGTAAGAAATAATAGAGATCCCCTGTACCCTTTACCAAATTCCTCCAATGGTAATGTCTTGCAGAACTATAGTACAATATCACAAGCAGGATTTGACTTTGCCAGAGTCAAGATACAGAACAGTCCCACCACCACAAGGATCCCTGTGTTGTCTTTATGTAGCCCCTCCCACCCCATCCACTCACCCCCTGTTCTTAACCTCTGGCAACCACTAATTTGCTCTTCATTTCTCTAATTTTTTCATTTCAAAAATGTTATATAAATGGAATCATATAGTGTATATAGCCTTTGGGATTGGCCTTTTGCACTCAGCATAATACATTGGAGATTTATACAAGTTGCTGAGTGTAGCAATAGTTCATCCCATTCTATTGTGAGTAGTATTCCATGATATGGATGTACCACCATTTAATCATTCACCTGCTGAATGACATCTAGATTATTTCCAGTTTTTTTACTATGACAAAAACTGCTATGAACTTTTGTTTACAGGTTTCATTTGAATAAAAATTTTCATCTCTCTGGAATAAATGTCCAAAGTGAAGTTGCTAGGTTGTAATGACAGTTATATGTTTAATTCTTTTCAAAACTGCTGAACTGTTTCCCAGAGTGGCTCTACCAGTTTACATTCCTACCAGCAATGTATGTGTGACCCAGTTTCTCTGCATCCTTGTCAATATTTGGTGTTGTCACTATTTTTTATTTTTTATTTTAGCCATTCTTACAAGTGTGTACTGATCTCTCATTGTGGTTTTAATTCTCATTTCCCTGATTCTAATGATGTTGAACATATTTTCATGTAGCTGATTTGCCATCTATATCCTCTTTGGTGAAATGTCTGTTCATATCTGCCCATTTTCTGATGGGATTGTTTCTCTTTTTTTCCAGTTGAGTTTTGGGAAAATGGTGAGAGCAGCTATCCTTGCCTTGTTCCCAGTCTTGGGGAAAAGTACTTAGTCTTTCAGCATTAAATACAATGTTATCTGTATGGCTTTTTTAGATGCTTTTTATCAAGTTGAGGAAGTTATTCTTTATTCCTAATTTTCTGAGAATATTTATCATGAATGGGTGTTGAATTGTGTCAGATGCTTTTTCCATATCACTTGATTTGATCATATGATTTTTTCTGTAATCTGTTTAGTTTGGTGGATTATATTGATTGATTTTCAAATATTGAACCAGCTGTGTATTCTGAATGAACCCTACTTAGTCATGGTGTAAAAATCTTTCTATATATTGCCGAATAATACTTGTTAATATTTTGTTAAGGATTTTTACATCTATGTTCATGAAAAATATTGGCTTATAGTCTTATTTTTTGTACTGTCTTCGTCTGGTTTTGATATCAGGATAGTATTAGCGTCATAAAATGAATTGGGAAATGTTCCTTCTCCGTTCTATTTTGGTGTTAATTCTTCTTTAAATGTTTGGTAAAATTCCCCAGAGAAACCATCTGGACTTCTTGGGGGGCCAGGATATGACTTATCTTGATATATGTTCCATATGTGTGTTTGAAAAGAATACATATTCTGCTGACATTGGGTAAATGTCTATTAGATGGTGTTGTTTGATAGTTGTGTCAGGGGTCCCCAAGACCACCCTTGGGTTCAAAGATTTGCTAGAAGAACTCACAAAACTTAAACTGTTACACTCGTGATTTATATTTATTACTCAGAGATCAAACTGACACAGCATGGCCTAGAGCCCTAAGCACATTTTTCATTACGTTATTAGCATAAATATTATGGTGTGGCCCCAGGTGTTAGGTATACAAAGCACTCTTATATAGCAGGATATTCCCAGGACTTAAGGGTTATCTTCCAGGAACCAGTCAAGGGCCAATCCTTTTTCTGCGGTATGCTGTGTTTGCACACCCCACGCCCAGCTAAGTAGCCAGTTTGCTGCACAATGGTGTTGTTGAGTTTTTAATATCCTTGTTGATTTTCTGGCTAGTTGTTCCATCAGTTGTTGAGAGAGGGGTGTTGGAATCTCCAAATATATTTGTTTGTTTATCTATTTCTCAGTCATTCTATCAGTTTTTACTTTATTTTGTCATTCACACCATTTTACAGTTCTGTTGTTTGGTGCATAGACATTTAGAATTTCTATGTCTTCTTGATGGATTGACCCTTTTGTCATGATGTAATGTCCTTTTCTGTCTCTGGTCATTTTTTTTTTTTTTTGGCCTGAACTCTACTTCGTATCTTACTAATATAGCCATATTAATTTTACTTTCTTTGATTAACGTTTGCATGATATATCTTTTCCATCCTTTACTTTCAACCTGCCTATATTGTTATATTTGAATACAGTTTCTTTTTGGATATCATATAGTTGGCTCATGATTTTGAATCCACTTTTCCAGTCTCTTTTATTTGATGTCTTTAGATCATTTACATCAATGTAATTTTTATATTAAGGATTAAGTTTACTGTTTTATTTTTTGTTTTCTGTTTGTTCTATATTTTCTTTCTCTGTTTTCTTTTTCCTGCCTCCCTGTGAATTACTTGAACACTTTTTAAAATTTCATTTGATAGTTGTGTCAGGGGTCCCCAAGACCACCCTTGGGTTCAGAGGTTTGCTAGAACTCACAAAACTAGTGTTTATGAGTCTCTTTGAATAGCTTTTTTAGTGATTGTTCTTGGTATTACATTATAACATCACAGACTGATGGTATTAACATTTTACCAGTTCTAGTGAAGTGCAGAACCCTTACTTCCCCCCACTTTACATACCAGTATTAGTTTCATAGGGCAGTTGCAACAAAGTACCACAAGCTGGATGGCTTAAAACAACTCAAATGTGTTGTTCTGGAGGCTGGAAATCCAAAATCAAGGCATCAGTAGGACCATGCTTCCTCTGAAACCTACAGGAGAATTCATCCTTACTTCTTTCTGGCTTCTGGTGGTTTGGTGGCTATCTCTGGCATTCCTTCACTCCTAACTTACATAATTCCAGTCTCTGCCTTTGTCATGACATGATATTCTCCCTGTGTCTCTGTGTCTTCACATGGCTGTCTTATAAGGATATGAGTCATATTGAATTAGGACCCCATCCTACTCCAGTATGACCTCATCTTAACTAGTTATATCTTTAATGACCCTGTTTCCAGATAAGGTTGCATTCTGAGATACTGGGGGTTGAGTCTTGAACATATCTTTTTTGAGGGAATACAATTCAACCCGTAATAGTGCCTTTTCCTGCCTCACTTAATATATAATTATCTTAATTATTTTCTCTTTGTATTTATAACCACATCAGACAGTATTATGATTTTTGCCCCAACCATGAAACAAAATTTGGAAACTCAAGGAAAATGTATTATATTTAACCATATTTTCACTAGTTCCACTGCACTCTTCCTGACTAACATCCCAAGATTCCTTCTTTCATTATTTCCTTTCTATTTAGAAAACTTCCTTAGCCATTCTTTTAGGGTAGATGTGTTGGTAACACAGCCTCTTAGTTTTCCTTCATCTGAGAATGTCTTGATTTCTGTTTCATTTCTGAAGAATATTTTCATGGATATAAAATTCTTTTCTTTTCTTTCAAAACTTGAAAAATGCACCACTTCCTTCTGGCCTTCAAGTTTTTTGATAAGAAATCCTGTCACTTAAATTGTTTCTTTCCCCCATAGTATAGGTAAGGCATTGATCCTCTCACTACTTGTATTGTTTTCCCCCTTTCTATAATTTTCAGAAATTTGACTGTGTTGTGTCTTGATTTGAATTTCTTTGGGTTTAACCTTTTTGAGGTAGGATCTGCTTCTTGAATCTGTGGTCTTACAGTGTTGTTTGTGGGGTTTTTTTGTTTTTTGGTTTTTTGGGGGTTTTTTTGGTGTGTATATGCCAGATTTGAAAGTTCTCAGCCATTATTTCATTAAGTA